AATCAATCCCATTTACAATTGCTTCAAAAACAATAAAATATCTAGGAATAAATTTAACCAAAGAAGTAAAAGACCTGTACTCAGAAAATTATGACGTTGAAGAGAGAAATCAAAGAAGATACAAATAAATGGAAATACATACCATGTTCATGGATAGGAAGAGTTAATATAGTTAAAATGTCAATACTACCTAAGGCAATATATAGATTCAATGCAATTCCTATCAAACTACCAATGACATTTTTCTCATAAGTAGAACATATAAGCCTACAATTTATATGGAACCATGAAAGACCCCGAATAGCCACAGCAATCTTGAGAAATAAGAACAAAATGGGAGGTATCATGCTACCCAACATCAAATCATACTACAAGGCTACAGTAATCAAAACAGTATGGTACTTCCCCTTGGGCAAGGGAAATAAAAGAAAAAATAAACATATGGGATTACATCAAACTTGAAAGTTTTTTTTACAGCAAAGGAAATCATCAATAAAAAAAAGGCAGCCTACTGAATGGGAGAAGATATTTGCCAATGACATATCTGATAAGGGATTAATATAAAAAATTTATAAAACACTCATTCAACTCAACACCAAAAAAACAAACAACTCAATTAACATGGGCAGAGGATATGAAGAGGCATTTCTCTAAAGACGACATACAGATGGCCAACAAGCATATGAAAAAATGTTCAACCTCACTAATCATTTGAGAAATGCAAATAAAAACCACAATGAGATATCACTTCACTCCGGTCAGAATGGCTATCATCAATAAATCAACAAACAAGTGCTGGTGAGGCTGTGGACAAAAGGGAACCCTGGTGCACTGTTGGTGGAACTACAGATTGGTGCAGCTGTTATGGAAATCGATATGGAGGTATCTCAAAAAAACTGGAAATGGAACTACCATATGACTCAGCAATTTCACTCTTGGGTATATATCCAGAGAAACCCAAGATGCTAATTCGAAAAAATAAATGCACCCCTATGTTTATTGCAGCTCTATTCACAATAGTCAAGACTTGGAAACAACCAAAATGCCCATCGGTAGATGAGTGGATTAAGAAACTGTGGTACATTTATACAATGGAGTACTACTCCGCTATAAAGAATAATGAAATCATACCATTTGCAACTATATGGATGTACCTAGAGACTATTATGTTAAGTGAAATAAGTCAGTCAGAGAAAGACAAATATCATATGATTTCACTTATATGTGGAATCTAAAAACCTGAATGAATGAGCAAAGGAAACAAATAGTCTCAGAGATACAGAAGAAGAACTGATGGTTGCTAGTTGGGAGGAGGTGGGGATGAGGAAGAAAGGGAAGGGACTAGACAGCATAAATAGGTAACTACAATATTGCCACAGGGATATGAAAGAGTTTGAGGAATTTAATTAATAATGTTGTAAATATTTTCTACTGTGTCAGATGGTCACGTCTTGTTAGGGAGATCGCATTGTGGATGGGGTAGAGGCTTGATCATTGCACTGTACACCTGAAGCTGATGTTGTATAATATTTTATGTCAACTATAAGTGAATATATATATACATGTATACACACACACACACATATAGTCATGGTGTGTGGAGTATAGTGTGGAGGTGGAGTCAAGGGAATTGTAATAGGTATGTATGATATTGGAGAGGGAAGTGGGGTGGTGGATTGGGGGGGTTGTCACTTTGAGGGGTAGAAAGTATAACATTGCACTGTGATGTACAGCTGAAACTAATTTAAAAAAATGTGTATTTCACAAAAAAAATCTAAAAAATATTACATAGGTTTCAAGTGTATAATTATATAATACATCATCTATATATCACATTGTATACTCACCACTTAGAGTCAGTTTTTGTTAACTTTCTGCAACTCATGTCTATGTGCCAAGGATAAATGGATTATAGACAGTGAATGTTACCAACATCCACCATTGAAATAATTTAATTGGACAGGGTGCAATTCTTTTATCTAAGAAAAATTTAGCTCCATTATTATATTACCTCCACCTTTTCCTGGAACAGCATTTGATGGGAATGAAGGTTGGTTTCACTCATTTCAATTCATATTAGTGATAAAGGGATTGACGCCTCCTGTGGGACAAAAACTATTCTTTATAGTTCATGTCAATCAAAATAGAAATTGTTGGGTAATGAAAATTTGAAATTTTATTATTCTTCTTTCATTCAATTACATTGTCTGATCTAGGATTTCATGTTAAAATTAAAGGCCATGTGAATGTTAACCACACATTTGCTAGAGACTGTTACATTATTTAGCAGGCAATAGAATTTACTTTTACAAATATCCACAAAAACACCTAAATTACTTGTCTTTTCACTTTGTTTTCTCAAACTCATGTTAAAGTACTTGACTTTTTGTTACACTGGTAATTTCTAGGAGAGTTAAAATGCCTTAAGACTTAAAAGTAAAATCATGCAGCTACACTTGTTTTTAAAAGTGAGATTTCTTAATACATAAATCAAATTACTAGAGAAAAATATAAGCCAGCATAATTGTATGTGATTAAAAATATAAATACAAGCATAAAAACAATAACTTATACAGGTCAGCCTGGCCTATGGAGTTTGTCAATGACCCTGTTGGTTTGGTGAATTTACAAATAATCACATATCCAAGCTCTCCTGTAACGAAAGAAAGAGAGAAATAAAAACATACATATATGAATATTTAGAGATAAATGCATTATAGCAACTGTCTCTCTGAAATAAAAAAGTCTCAAACTACTGTAGTTAATCTTATATCAGAATAGCACAAAGCTCTTCTATTGGTGGTATTTTCTCATTTAAAAATCATACTTGTGAAACAATATAAAATGTACAACCTCCACATTCTCTGGCTCCAACAAATATTAAGCTGAAAACAGACTTTTATGGTGTGGGGATGTGGAAATTAGGGCTATCAGATCCTAAGCATTTCCAATAGTCTTGGCTAATGTCAAGAAGTTGGTGTCATTGAGAAGCCATTTATCTTGAAAACATTCCAGAAGACTTCCATGCATGGAAATGTATGGAAAGCAAGTGTTCTTAGTTTGTCATTTGCTTCTGTTTGACTTATTTTCTGTGAATTTCATATCATAGTATGTAAAATAATATTTAACCTTATTGATGTTTAATGCTTTTCTTTTTTTTTTGGTAAAAAAAATGGCACATTTTCCAAATTGTTTTTATGTATTAGTTACAGATGATCCTAGATTTTTACAAATGGCTTGCACATGTTCTAAATCTTTTATGACAAAGTGTTTCTCAGTTTTACAAGTTAAATTACAATGAAACAGAAATAAAACAACACAAAATACTGTGGTAAAAGGAAGTAAATTCATGTTTACCTTTCAGTACACTAAAACTTAAGTGCATACAAATTTTTATAAAATACAATAACCTATTAAGTGAACCTGATTACTAACAAAATTTTAAAAAATTGTTAGCAAATCTTGACCAGGGACTGTGCAGTTACTAAGTCACATCATAGGATCATTTATAGGATCTAAACAACAAAAATGGTTGTGCAAAATGCTGGAGTATGGACTCTTCAGAGCAGTTGCTAAAAACAAGAGTTGTGCTGCAGCAAAAGGGTCTCAGACTTCACTCTGGTCATTGAGTTTGCTCAAATTCTGAAACAGAAGAGAAAGAAATAAGCACATGCTACCAACTCTTAAGTGGTTACTATTGTCAAAGAATGATAGTAACTGAAGCAAGCTGTCCAGCAAAGCTATGAAAACAGATATTCTGAGGCATCAGAGTGTAGCAATTTAAAGCTCCAAGTCCAAGAGCTGACTTTGAAACAAGCTCTACCACTTATAAATGGCATAACTTCCTTGAGCCTCAATTTCCTCATTTCTAAAAATGGGTTAAACAATAGAGTCTATCATATAAGATTTTAGCAAATTGAATGAATTAATGTGGGTAAAGCTCTTAGCATATTTCTAGAACATAATGAGCATTCAATGAGTGTTATATTATAATAGTAATAATAGGAATTTTGGTCAAGATGGCAGAGTAAGTAAACGCTGCATTTGCCTCCTCTCAGGACCACATCAATTACAACTGAACTACAAAACAACCATCATTGAGAATCACCTGAAATCTAGCTGAACCAAAGCCCTAAAGCTACAGACATATAGAGGAAGCCACCTTGAAACTGGTAGGAGGGGTAGAGACACAGAATGGGCTGGTCCCACACCTGGTAGGAGGGGTAGAGTCACAGAATGGGTGGGTCCAACACTAGCACATGACCATTAAAAACTGGGAGAGATATCTTGGCTGTGGAAGTACCCCTGGAGAAGATAGTGGGCCCAGCCCAATACCAGGCTTTCCAGCCCAGGGTTACTGTGCCAAGGAGAGAAGACTCCATAATTTCTCATTGTGAAAACCAGCAGAGATTGGATGAGATGGTGGGTGTCTTGAGTTCCAGGTGTTCCTCTTAAAGGAATTCTGCATGGACCTACTTGATGATGGACTCACTCACTCTGAGCTCAAGTACTGGGGCAGCAGCCTAAAAGGTTACAGGAACATACAGGGAGGAACTGCGTTGTCTGTCTAGGGAAGAGAGCTGGAGAAGCAGCTTTCTTCAGCACAGAGGAACTGGGGAAAGTCATTGCTTCTTTGTTGATCCCTTCCCTCTCCCTGCATACAGACACAGGCAGAGACTATACCTGAGTCTCCATCAAACTGGCTATCACGTTTCATGAGCCCTGTCCTGTGATTCCCCCAGACCACACCCCACCTAACTTTGGGGAACACCCAAGCCTCTTTCTTGCTCATACTGTGGACTTTCATAAAATCTCTCAAAGGTTCACAAAACCCAAACAAGCAGCATCTGACTTCAACATGCCCCATACCACTGGCTGAGCAGCCCTAAGCCCAGTACTAGTGACAGCCAGCCTCTGCTCACAGATTGGCCTTTTGAGGCACCTCTAAGTGAAGTGCAGGTTGTGGCCATCTGCAGATGGCTTTGTGGCTTATACCAGGTGGCCCTTGGCAGAGCACAGTCTTTGGCTAAATTTGGCCTGCAGTGGGTTCCCTCCCAGGAGGTCCCAGGGCTGGCATATCTAGTGACCAGCTTTGGACCAAACCAGAGCATCACCCAGCCACCTCCAAGGACAGCATACCCAAAGGGCAAACTAAACAAGCACTGGAGCCCCACTACAGAGCAAACCCTGCTCTGTAGGGTGAGCCCCTGCACCACAACTCCTCCACTGTAGTCACAGCCAATCATCACAACCAATCAGCCTGAGGGTAAGTTTATCCCATTAACATGCAAACAGCAACCAAGGCTCAACTACAGGAGGAGGGCACACACAAATCATACAAGGATCACACCTGGAACACCCGGTGCTGCTGGCTGGGGAGACTGCACCACTAGGTCCCACATGAAAACTACTGTATAAGGTTACTTTATTAGGACCAGGAGGTAGCCAAAATGGGGAGACCAAGAAATATGTCCCAAATAAAAGAACAGAACAAAACTCTTAGAAGAAGAACTAAACAAAATGGAGACAAGCAACTTACCAGACACAGAGATCAAACCCTGTTATTAAAATGCTCAATAATATCAGGGAAAATTTCAACAAAGAGATAGAAAATGTAAAAACATAAAAAAACAACCAGTTAATAAAGAATACAATAACTGAAATGAAGAATACATTAGAGGGAATCAACAGTAGATTAGATGAAGCAGAACATCAAATCAGCAATTTAGAAGATAAGATAGCAGAAAACACCCAATCAGAACAGAAAAAAAAATCCAAAAAAATGAGGGTAGTTTAAGGGGCCTCTGGGACAACATCAAACATGCCACCATTCTCATTATAGGGGTACCAGAAGCAGAAGAGAGATAGCAAGGGATTGAAATAATGACAAAAATCTTCCCTAACTTGGTGAAGGAAATAGATATATATGCCCAGAAAACACAGAGAGTCCCAAACAAGATGAAACCAAAGAAATCCACACCAAAGCACATCATAATTGAAATGCCAAATGTTAAGACAAAGAGAGAATCTTAAAAGTAGCAAGAAAAGGGCCGGCCGAGTGGCGAGTATGTTAAGAGCTGGCTTGGGACGCCAAAGGGCCCTGGTTCGGATCCCACATATGAGGGCCAGTGACACTGCCCTCTACAGCTAAGATGCTGAACAACAGCTCAACCTGGA